TTCACGCGCTTTCTATCTACATTAACGTAAAAAGCGTACTTAGCCTAACGCATATAGTACGAACTAGATAGATCTCAGACGATTCCGTACTACAACACGTTCTTGAAAATGTACAACCACTGATTAGGAGTGATTACATGATACAAACACTAACCTGTAGTCACTACTCATTGTAGAACTGGTGACTTCTATTCGAGAGAGGCTTAACTTTCATTAATCCTATTTAGGCCACGGCAGAATGATGTCTTCGTATCAATTTAACACCTTGCAAGTGGAACAAACAGGCGATAATGTATATCATGTGCAACTTAATAGACCAGACAAGCGTAATTCTATAGATGACGATATGTGGAAGTAAGTAGTTGAACATTCAATACACAAGAATAATCTGCAACTTGATATTATACAGACTTAATTGAAAGCTCTGAATCATATTGGTCACGTTGAATGAAAACTAACCAATTTTTTTGGCTATCGTGATGCTATATCACTCACTGTATGACATTGCTAGAGAAATCCCACAGTGCTTTGATAGTCTGGGTACTGATTCGTCATGCCGTGTTATTATTTTATCTGGAGCTGGTAAGATGTTCTGTTCAGGTGAGAAACGTGCCTAACAATCCTATGCGTATACTAGTCTAGTCATCGCGAAAAGTTATGGTACTCTAGCTAAAGTATTTTTTGCACTTTATTTAACGCTATAGGTATCGATCTCTCTGTTTTGGCAATGCTACAAGATCCCAATCAGGAGGTTGCTAGGAGAGCCATTGCAATGCGTATTGGTGTGAAAAAATTTCAGGATGCCTTTACCTCAATTGAAAAGGTTCCTAAAAACATCTCATCAATTTTTGATACTGTATATTGTAATAGATCTAAGTAGTATTACTAGTTCCAACTCAATCTTACAGTAAGACTCGTCGAATTATTAAGTAGTTTTACATCTATAATTAGAATCCTTGAAGCGTATTGCATCGTTTAACTAATTCGATGATTATATACATATTAGTGTCCCAAACCTGTAATTGCAAGTATACATGGGGGATGCATTGGAGCCGGTAGTGTTGTTTATTTCTCAGAAATAAAAAAATTTTTACAATGTCAGCTGCATATCACTATTATTGATCGTATATTGAATTACTTTGACAGTGAAGCTATAATTCTTACGCTATCTTATATGTGCGTTGTAACTTACACTAATCGCATTACTTGTGATTTAAAGGTATCGATATGACAAGTGCCTGTGATATTAGACTTTGTTCTCAAGATGCTTTTTTCTCGATTAAGGTAAACGATGAGATTTATTCCAGCTGGTATATATAAAATTATATAAGATAAGCCTCTTTAATTAATACAGTAACAAAGATGCATACTTTATCTTGTTCAAATTGAAGGAAGTTGACATGGGATTAGCTGCTGATGTTGGTACATTGCAGCGGTTTCCAAAAATCGTGGGAAATGATAGGTGCGTATCTGTAATTATAGTTCGTCAAAGTCTAGTATAAGCATCCTATGATTAAATTACAGGATATGGTATTTGCTATTGTGCTGCTTGAATACTGTATATTCACTCTTAAGTGAATGTCATATTAAGAATTCTTTTTATAACACAGCTTAGTTAGAGAGTTAGTCTATACAGCAAGAAATTTTTCTGCTACTGAAGCGAAAGATATTGGCTTTGTTAGGTAACTGATATTAAATATGTATCATTTGCCCCACCATACCATAAATGATTTGGAATAATAATAATGATATGGAAAATTTAATGTCTTTAGTTTATCTGATATAGTTATTTTAATGAATACTTCTACTAATTTAGTTCCGTTCACGCCGACGCCAAAACTCTTACTGACGCGTCAATAAAATTGGCTACCAATATTGCCAGCAAAAGCCCTGTTGCAATCACGGGTTCAAAAATTAATATGAATTATTCTCGTGACCACTCGGTGGATGAAGGTTTAAACTATATTGTAAGTCTAATTCTAACATCAATTATTTCCATGCTTCAACAAAGTAATACTGCTATTGTATACAAATAGTGGTACGAGTATAAAAACAGCAATGCGTGGCATTATTGTTTCATTTTCATACGTTATATTCTTATCATTTACGAATATTTAATTTTATACGTTAGGCCAACTGGAATATGAGCATGCTGCAATCTGAAGATTTAATGACGTCAGTCCAAGCAGCTATGACAAAGACTCCGCCAAAATATAAAGACCTTTAATACCATTCATCTAAATAATTTTCTTTAAATATATTTTACTGCTTTTGATGCGGTATTTGCGATCAATGAATGCAACGTCAGACTTTAGAATTTTAAAATCTATTTGCATTACATATTTAATGCGAAGAAAGATACAGTACTAGAGTTAGTTAATAATAGATTGCAGAAACTGTTTCTCATTATACGGCATATGGTACGGTACTGTAGAACATAATTTAAGCATTCTATTTCGGTGTCATGTTACCTAGCTGACAATACACAATCTAGCTCTATGTTAGGCAGTAATGGGCAAATTTGATATACGTTACGTATGTTATTGAAACTCATAATTTTATTATAAATGCGGAATTAATAAAACACATCGCTAGCTAAAGCTTTAAAAGAACTTTAAATATTGTCTTGCTAATCGGTGCATTGTTTTACAATATGATATGATGAACTTTTAAAGAGCACAAATTTTTAAACTTGAATTTTGCTACCTTTGGAAACTGAAGTATATCAAATGCAGATAATTACATGTTTTGTCACTTTGGTGCAGTAATCGTCGAGAGATTTTAAGCATGTAGTACGATATTGTGTCGTCCAAACCCTGCAAGGACTGTTGTTAAAATTGATTTATCTGACAGCAGCGGCAAAGACTGCTTTTTAACTAGACGTATAACTTCTAAGCTTAACTCTAATATATAAACATCAATTACTTTGATCATCAGCACGCCTCAAGCGTGAACTGCTCACGGTGCTCAGTGTACCTGTTTTAGCAATATTTAGCAAGAATTGAAGGATACCAATATCACATAGCAATTTATACAACTTAAAACAACTTTTTTATTTCAACTTTGATTCTATAGTCATCAACGCAGAAATCTCCTTATCTTTTGTAACATAAAGGATATCACAATGATTTTACATAATAGATATAACATAGGCTTATTTTTTAACTTCTCATTATTCAATTTTGGCGATTCTAATCAATTATGCCTTCTCCGGATAATAGCATATAATATAGACAATGAGCTATTTACGCTGTTACAAGATATTGTCGTCATGATATAAAACTGTAAAAGCGTTATGTTAATGATTTAATAACATTCTAACACGTAAACGAATTGTAATTCTTAATTTAAATTTCGAGTGTGCCTTTTAGATTACTTATAGAGATATCATCAATTGCCAACAATATTCGATTCATCGTAGTTGAAGCATACTCATAGAAGTCTAAAATTCACAAAATATAATGAAAGGCAATATATAATACACTGCAATTACAAAAATCCATGAGCATATCCAATTTTATATCTAATTTCTTTTATTGCTATTGTCCTATTATTTTTAAAGGATGT